CGGTAACGGGAATTTTGAGTAGTTCAGAGAACCGGTAACGGGAATTTTGAGTAGTTCAGAGAACCGGTAACGGGAATTTTGAGTAGTTCAGAGAACCGGTAATGGGAATTTTGAGTAGTTCGGAGAACAGGTAGCGGGAATTTTGAGTAGTTTGGAGAACCGGGAATTTTGAGCAGTTTGGAGAACCTGTAGCAGGAATTTTGAGTAGTTTGGAGAACCTGTAGCAGGAATTTTGAGTAGTTCGGAGAACCTGTAGCAGGAATTTTGAGTAGTTCGGAGAACTGGTAGCGGGAATTTTGAGTAGTTCAGAGAACCGGTAATGGGAATTTTGAGTAGTTCGGAGAACAGGTAGCGGGAATTTTGAGTAGTTTGGAGAACCGGGAATTTTGAGTAGTTTGGAGAACCTGTAGCAGGAATTTTGAGTAGTTTGGGGAACCTGTAGCAGGAATTTTGAGTAGTTCGGAGAACCTGTAGCAGGAATTTTGAGTAGTTCGGAGAACTGGTAGCGGGAATTTTGAGTAGTTCAGAGAACCAGTAGCTGGAATACTGAGTAGTTCGGAGAATCGGCAAATGCCACCAATGCCTGGCCCCAGAGTAGGGAGGGAGTGGAAATTTTGCGGTATCCTTCCCCTGCCACGCTCACCAAGCCACACCACGCCCAACAAGCCTCGCCCACCAAACCGGCAGTTAAAAATTTGAATTTCACCAACTGCTGCTATCTTGTACTTGTTTGACAAACTAAGAGATACAATATACATCAAACCGTAGCTTAAATCTCCATCTTCCCTCCATCTTTTGGCCGAGATGGTCAAGACACCCTGGACCTTCTCCCCAACAGATCCTAGCACACACCTCAAATGATCCACGCTGGTTGAGACCTTCTTGGGAAGGGAGAGAGAGAGAGAGAAGACGCCAGTCACTCACTGTCAACAAGCAAGCTTTGTCGGCTTGAAGAAGGGTTAACAGCTCCAGAAGACGTCTTAGGACCAAGGAAGAAGCATTGGTTTCAGCGGCTGGTGCCACCGTCAACACGGGAGGGCCGGCGAAAGCTCGGCGCCACCGTCTTTTCCCCCTTCTTTGCACAAAACAGATCACACCGCCTGGCGCAAAAACAGATTCCGACTCACCCGTAATATAAACAGCCCGGGTGGAGAGAGGGGAATCTGCCTTTGCCATATTTAGCGATCGCAATTGTTTCGGCTCACAAATATAACCCTAAGACACAATTTGGACGGTGCGCCCGGGAGGCAATTCTATTTTATTTATTTTAACCCCCATCGCCTGGACGGTTGGAAGGTTTCCTTAAAGTTCAAGAGAGGTTGTGGAGAGACAGACAGACAGACAGACACACGCCAAGGATGTTCCTACAACTTTGTAGGTCTTTCTGCTTTTTTTCCGTGCTTGAAAAAGACAGAGGCAAACTATTTCTTGCGTTATTTTAAAATGTGCCCCACACACAGACACAAAAAAAAGAGTGTAAAGACATTTTTTCAAGTGTCTGTTAGCAACTTTTGATGGTTGGCTCCATCTGTTCCCAGATATATTTATTTAGCTCAAGCAACAAGTCGTTTTAAGCTGTTTAAAGACGCGAGAAATACATGGGTAGGTGGGTGGGTGGGTGTTTCTGGTTCCCACTGTGCTGTCAGGTAGCCAGGATCGAACCTCTCTTCCCAGTGATGTCGTTTTCAAGGGGCACTATTCATTTCTTTTTAATCCTTCCTTCATTAGTTTGGGGGGTTTTGTTTTTAGAAATAATNAAACTAGACATCCCCAGTTCCAGCAACTGTTCTTCATATGTTTTATCCTCCGGTCCCCTAATCCTCTTCGTTGCCCTTCTCTGCACTCTTTCTAGAGTCTCCACATCTTTTTTACATCGTGACTGGCAAACCACACAGGCTTTTGAGATGTTGAATCTGCCAAGTTTTTCTCTTCTAATGTTTTGTTTTGTATTCCCAGATGACGAGAGCGATTCCGACGTCGAGGAGGAGCAGACTACGGTGAGGATTGGTGATGGCTGGGGGCCAAAGCTGATTACAGGAGGGTTGCCAACAACTCCTGCCTGAACCTCTTAACATATTCCTGTTTGGGGGTGTCCCTTTCTATTAACCCATGGAAGCCAATAAATCATAGATTGGTAGCGCTGGAAGGAATCTTAGAGGACATCTAGTCCAACCCTAAACTCTGTGCAGGATGTGCTACAGTATCTCTGCTTATGCAATTAAACACGTTTTGGTTTTCTTTCTCCCCCACTGCAGAAACGCCGGCGGCCAACTTTGGGGGTGCAACTGGATGACAAGCGGAAAGAGATGTTGAAGAAGCACCCTCTGTCCGTCACCATCAACCTGAAGTGCAAAGGTAGGAAAACCAAAGGGGTTATCGATTTTTATTGCCACTTTGTGGTCCCAATCTGGGAGTTGAGTTGATTTGGGTTAGGTTGGGTTGAGTTGAGTTGAGTAGGGTGGAATTGAACTGAAAAGTCAGGTTGAGTTAAATTGAGTTGGGCTGAGTTGAGTTGAGAAGTTGAGTTAGGTTGGGTTGGGTTAAGTTGGGTTGGGTTGAGACGTTGAATTGAGTTTAGTTGGACTGGGTTAGGTTAGGTTGTGTTGGGTTGGGTTCAGTTGAGTTGGGTTGGGTTGAGAAGTTGAGTTAGGTTGGGTTGAGTTAAGCTGGGTTGGGTTGAGTTAAGTTGGGTTGAGTTGTTGCGTTGAGTTATTGGATTACAAGGCAGTTTGTTTCTAGTTTCACTCAAGTAATAAAAGCAGCATTCATCATCAGGGCCCAACAGAGTATGGCTAACAAAGTCAAGTTGGCAGCTGCAATGGATTTTGGGAATTTAGATTGTACCATCATGGCTACCATCTTCATGTGTTTGACCATACTACAGGACCCTTAATATTAGAAAGCATGGACTCGCTTCCTCTCCATTTGTTTGATCATTTCCTTGGCTTTCATACTCTAATCCCAAACAATATAACGATGTCCATGTGGGCTGCAATAGTGTAGATCAGGGTGGTCTCCAAATTTGGCCACTGTAAGACTTGTGGACTTCAACTCCCAGAATTCCTCAAAGGACTGACATTTTCCTTCCTGGAGTCTCTTCCTTTAGCAATGAGGATGTGTGCTGGGACTCCACTCTGGAGAACTGAAACACGCAAGCAGACAAACACGCCCACACACCCACACCCTTTCTGTGCTTGGAAGAGTGACCCCGGCTGTGTGTCCTTGCAGATGGCAGTTTGCTGTTCCTGACCTTTTACTACTTGATGAACCTCAACGTCCTGACCGTCAAGGCCAAGATGACCGCAGCCACGGAGATGACCGTGCCCATCAGCGCTGGGTGAGCTGTCACGGGGGAATCTGCTGAGAAACTCAAGGTGGATAGAAGACAACATGGGAGGAGGTAGCAGGATAGCTGTGGAAACATTGTGGCTACCAGCTTTTCATGTCAAAAGACGCCACCTCTCACGTGGTGTCCTTCAGTGATGACATTGCAGCTCCTGGTAGGCTGGGCACACTGCGAATGCCCTGCGCAGGCTCCGCCATCCATCCAGCCTTGGCAGGCTCCTAGCAATAGCAGGGAAACGTTTCAGGGCCGCCACACAGCTCGGTAACTTCTCCATGGCCTCCAGTGTCCCTACACTGTGCAGCGTGCAGGCGTGGCTTCCAGCACAGGACATGGCCACACTGCCCAGCTGGTGGTTCCCGGTGCGGCAGGCAGGCGGTGACACGCGGGCCAGCTGGTAGGTCCTGGTGTGGCATGGTACCCATCCGAATGGCAGTCCCTGCAACCTAAGGGATTGTCCCAAATGAAACCAGAGTCCAAGGCAAAGGATTCCTCAAAGTTCCAGTTTATTAAGAGAGCAATGTTGGCACATCTGGGGAAACCCAAATCTGAAAGATTCCCGGTTTTCCCTACCCAGTTGAAAGTTCAAGATCTTGCCCCTCCACACCCACAAACCCATCACATGGTCCAATCTTCCACTGCCATGCTGGCAGCTTCCACCCATCCAGTTCCGGTCAGGTGCAGAGACAAAGATGACCTTAGCTTTCTAAGAAGAATGTTGTTATGGCTACATATCACCCAACTCCATATAATTTCGCCCTCTCACTTTCCCACAATAGAAAGTATGTCAGGCCTGAAACCTAAAAGGTGGCTAGCAGGTGTGACAGGCTGACATGTGTCCCTTCTGCCCGGATTTGGGGTGTGAAACTCTGCTGATGACTCAGGTGTCAACTGACAAAGGATTTCTAGTTTGCACTCGAATTGCCATGAGCCGCAAGGGGGGGAAGCACATTCCAGGCATACATTCTTCCAGGGTTGGATCTCAGATTGCCAAAGTTGGCTTGTGAGGCATGGATTTCTATAGCCCACCTTGTTGGAGAATGTGATTTATGACACAGACTGAGAGGAGGGGGAGGGGGAAAGAGGGTCAAAGTTGAGCTGTAAATGACAGAGGGAAGAAAGGAGGTAGGGAGGAGGAGAAAGGGAGAAGAGGCGAGAATAAATATGGTGTATAGAGAGAAGAAGAGCCAATGATAGTCTTTGGGGGTTGATGGCAAGATGAATTGACATAATATTGAATAATGCAAAATAGTATTGGTTATGTAATGGTACACATGTGGTTATTTGTATGAAAATAAAAAACTTTAATTTTTAAAGTTGAGCCATAAATTACGTGCGGCAGAGTTGACTTCCCTTGAGTAGATGCCGACATGCTGCTCTTAATAAATACCGTATTTTTCAGAGTATAAGACGCACCTTTCCCCCTCAAATAAGAGGGTGAAAATCTGGGTGCATCTTATACACTGAATACAGCATTTTTGGCCTCCAGAAACCCCTCTCCCTTCGCAAAAATGGCCATGCATTGGCTTTAGGAGGCTTCCAGAGTGCTCCTGGGGGCTGGGGAGGACTGAAATGAGCGAAAAATGGGCCGTTTTGGGGGGGGCAGCCCCCAGGAGCACTCTACAAGCCTCCTAAAGGCTATGCATGCCCCCTTTTTTTTTTGATGAAGGAGGTCTGCAGAGTGCAAAACCTTTTTTAAAAAAAATTGGTGCGTCTTATACTCTGAAAAATACGGTAACTGATTTTCTCTTGAAACTTGGCTTGAAACCCATGAGTTAATTAGGGCATCTGTCGGAACCTAGACAGCAGGAAGGCTTCCCTGCTCCCTCAGTTCAGGCAGAATTTGAACTGACGGGCAGCCGCAGAGTCACCCCGAGATTGACTGACCCCTTTTCTTCCCCCTCCTGGATTTTTTTCCCTAGGGACCTGCTGTGCCCCGATTCTCTTCTGAGCTGCCTCTATCCTGGGGACCACGGAAAGAGGACCCCAAACCCCGCCAACCAGTTCCAGTTCGACAAAGTGGGGTAAGCCAGTAGGGAGGGATGGGGCTGCCATTATTACCCCAATGGGGCAGGTAGTCCTGGATATTTTACATCCATTTGTCTAGAGACAGCCGCACGCTTAAAAATGAGCCCTGTCCGTTTTCACACTTACGACCGCGGCCCTATCCCCACGGCCATGCGGGTTCAAAATTCAGTTGCAGGGCAACTGGCTGCTGTTTATGATGGTTGCAGTGTACCATGGGTCCTGTGATTCCCGTTGTAACTTTCTGGCAAGTCAAGTCACCGGGGAAGCCCGATTCACTTAACAACCGTGGCAGGAAAGGTCGTAAAACGGCACAAAACTCAACAACTATCTGGCTTAGCAAAGAACGTTGGGCTCAGTGGTGATCATAAATCAAGGACTTCCTGTACGGGCAAACTCGCCAAGATGGCTACCACAGTGCGATGGAAACTACTGTAATTTTCGGACTATAAGACGCACGGGTGTATAAGATGCACCAAGATTTCAAAGAGGCAAGTAAGAAAAAAATGTTTTTGTCCTCCCCGGCTCCGAGAAGCACTCTGCAGACTTCAGCAGGGCTGGGGGAAGACAAAAACGCCCCCATTTTTGCAGGAAAATGAGTATAAGCTGCGTCTTATACTACGAAAAAGACGGTATCTCTTTTTTAAATGTATGACATATCTTAACTTTCTTTTAAAAATATGCATTGCAGTCTTCTGATTGTTGATTGTCCTCATCCCTTCTTCTCTTCCCCTTTCCAGCATCCTGACCCTGAACGACTACGTGCCTGAACTGGGCCATCCATACGTATGGGTGCAAAAACTGGGGGGTTTGCACTTCCCCAAGGACCAACCCCAGGTAGGTGTGGACAGATGCCTCCCGAAAGCTCTTTTCCGAACTTCAGTGGTTCCTTTTTAATCCGCACACAAGGCCAAGATCAATTGATGCTGTTCCAACCGAGGCTCCCCGAGAGCCTGAAGCCAACTCCTGGTCCCCACAAAAACCCCTTTGATCAATTGACTGTGAATTCCGCTCGTTCACCTCCAGCAAAGTCTTTCAAGGGAGGATTTATGGTCATGGACCTTATCTGGCTTGGAGAGCTGCCAGGCCGATCTCTGCAGAACTTGGCAAGGAGTCTCGGAGAGTCACGAACCAATGAAGTGAACGAATTGTCTCCTGCAAACTCCACTCCCCTTTCGCTCCTCTTTTATTCCCTCTGGGAGTAAGGCCACAGGTGGATGATGAAGGGCCCCTCCCAGAGGAAATAAAAGAGGAGCGAAAGGGGAGTGGAGTTTGCAGGAGACAATTAGTTCACTTCATTGGTTCGTGACTCTCCGAGACTCCTTGCCAAGTTCTGCAGATATCGGCCTGGCAGCTCTCCAAGCCGGATAAGGTCTGTGACTGTAAATCCTCCCTTGAAAGACTTTGCTGGATGTGAATGAGCAGAATTCACAGTCAATTAATAGAAAGGGTTTTTCTCCTCTGCCCCCTCCCAGAGGGAATAAAAGAGGAGCAAAAGGGGAGTGGAGTTTGCAGGAGACAATTCGTTCACTTCATTGGTTCGTGACTCTCCGAGACTCCTTGCCAAGTTCTGCAGA